TAGGATGGATTGTGGGTGGAAGTGTGGGATGTTTTTCCATTGTGTTTGTATCATCCTTGATTTTTTTTGAGCAACACTTTGCAGTTCTCTTTGTAAAGGTCTTTCACTTCTCTGATTAGGTGGATGCCAAGGTATTTCATTGTGTGTGTGTGTGTGTGTGTGTGTGTGTGTGTGTGTGTGTGTGTGTGTGTGTGTGTTGTGGATGGGAGTGTGCTTTTTATTTGGTACTCTGCCTGCTTGTTGCTGGTGGATAAAAATGCAACTGTCTTTTACACATTGATTTTGTACTCCGAAACTTTACCAAAGTTGTTTATCAGTGTGAGGAGGCTTTTGGCAGACTCTCTTGGGTTTTCAAGATATAGAACCATATCATCCACAAAGAGGGATAGCTTTACTTCCCCTTTTCCTATTTGGATACCCCTGATTCCCTTCTCTTGCCTGACTGCTCTGGCTAGGACATCTAGCACTAGGTTGAAAAGGAGGAGTGAGAGTGGGCAGCCTTATCTTGTTCCCATTCTCAGGGAGAATGCTTCTGCCCATTGAGCAAAATATTGACTGTGGGTTTATCATAGTTGGCTCTTATTGTTTGAAGGATGTTCCTTCTATGCCTAGGTGTTCAAGGGTTTTCATCAAGAAGGGATGCTGGATTTTGTTGAATACTTTTTCTGCCTCTAATTATATAATCATGTGATTCTTGTTTTTACATGTTAATGTACTGAATTATGTTTATGGTCTTGTGAATGTCGAACCAGGCCTGCATTCCAGAAATGAAGCCAACCTAATCATGGTGGATGTTCCTTGAGATGTGTTTTGGAACCAATTTGCTAGAATCTTGTTGAGAATTTTTGCAACTATGTTCAAGGAGATTGGCCTATTCTTTTTCCTTGTTGGTTCTTTGCCAGATTTGGGTATCAGTGTGATGTTAATTACATAAAATGATTTGGGAAAATTCCATTGTCTTGATTAAACTAGAAATCAATAACAGAAAGATAATAACATTTTTCAACACTTAGAAATTATACAACATACCTCTAAATAATCTATGGGTCAAAGATAAATCAGAAAATATTTTGAACCTAATGAATAATAAAATGTGTGGTTTACATCTAAAGCAGGATTTAGAGGGAATTTTATATAATTAAACACTTGTATTAGAAAAGTATCAAATCAAGTTCTTCAGGGTCAGTTGTGACTTTGCCTTTTGCATTTCGAATTGTGTTTACTTGGACTTTTTTTTTTTTTAGTCAATCTGGCCAGGAATCCATTAATCTTATTTATCCTTTCAAAGAACCAGTTTTTTGTCTTGTTCATTTTTTTTCTATGATTTTTTTTTGTCCTCTATGTCCTGCTATTGTGATTTTATATTATCTGGGTTCTTCTGTTGAAGTTAGGATTTAGGTGATCTTGCCTTTCCAGCTCCCTTAGGTGTGACATTAGGCTGTTTACTTGTGACCTTTCTGTTTTCTTGATGTATTTTTTATTTTGAGTTGGAATCTCACTCTGTCGCCAGACTGGAGTGCAGTGGCATGCTCCCAGACACCGCAGCCTCGACCTGCTGGGCTCCAGCGATCCTTCCACCTCAGCCTTCCAAGTAGCTGGAACTACAGGTGCGCGCTACCACGCCCAGCTGACTTTTTGATTTATTGTAGAGATGAGGTCTCGCCAAGCTGCCCAGGTGGGTCTCGAACCCGCGGGCTCAGGCAATCCACTTGCCTCAGTCTCCCAAAGCACAGGATTACAGGCTGAGGCACCAAGCCCGGCTGATGTGTGTATTCAATGCTATGAATTTTCCTCTTAACACTTGGTTTTCATGGCATCCCAGAGATTCTGATGTGTCTTTATTTTCATGTTTCCAGGAATCTTTTTGTCTTGATCTCCATGTTGACCCAGAAGTTGTTCAGCAGCATGTTGTTTAGTGTCCATGTCTTTGTGTATCTTGGTGAGATGATGTTGGTGGTGATATTTAGTTTTATTCCACTGTGATATGAGAAGATGCATGGCATTATTTTGATCTGGGGATTTGTTTATGCCTGATTTCTGAGAATGTGATCAATCTTGGAGTATGTTCCATGTGCTGATGAGTAGCATGTATACTCTGTAGTTGTTGGCTGAAGTATTCTGTAGATGTCTATTAAGTCCATTTAGTTGAGCATGTTGAGGTTCTGATTCTCTTTATTGGTTTTTTTTTGTTTGTTTTGCCTTGATGGTCTATCTAAAGCTGTTAGTGGGGTATTTAAGTTTCCAACTATGATTGTGTGAGAGTCAATATCCTCTCTTAGTTTACTTAGTAGTTGTCTTATAAAACCTGATGCTCCTGTGTTGGATGCATATGTTTAGAATGGATATTTCTTGCTGATGGATTGAGCCTTCTGTCATTATGAAATGTCCTTCTGTGTCCTTTTTAACTTTTGATGGCTTGAAGGCTGTTTGATATCAAAATAGCTACTTCTGCCATCTTGTTTTCCATTCACCTAAAGTTTTGAGTCTATGGGTGTCCTTGGCAGTGAGATAAGGTTCCTGGAAGCAGATTGTTGGATCATATCCAGTTTGCCACTCTATGTCTTTTCAGTGGTGCATTTAGTTAATTCACATTTAGGTTGATTATTGAAATGTGAGAGTTTATCCCTGCTATGGAACTTCTAGGGGGTTGTTTTGTTTCCTTTTAACTTTTGTGTTTATATGTGTGTTTTCATTTGTGTGGGTGCCCTATATGTTCTGTTAACTCTGTGCTTGTCTGTACTTTTGTGATAAGCATGACCATTCTTTTATTTTCTGTGTTCAAGACCTTCTTAAGCATCTCTTGAAGGGCTGATCTGGAGGCGGCATATTCTCTTAGGAATTGGATGTCTGTGAAGGATTTTAATTCTGTCACTGATGAAGCTTAGCTTGGTGGGGTAGAAAATTCTTGGTTGGAATTGCTTATCTTTAAGAACATTAAAAATTGGTCTCCAGTCTGTTCTGGCTTGTAGCATTTCTGCAGACAAGTCTGGAAAAATTCTGATGGTCTTCCCCGGTAGGTAGTCTAACTTTTCTTTCTCACTTCCTTTATTATTTTCTTTCATGTATGTGTCTAGGGGTTGGTCTTCTCATGTGATACCTTGCAGGGGTTCTCTAAATGTCTTGTGCTTGAATGGTCACATCTCTAGCAAGATGAGGAAAGTTTTGGGGGATGACCTCATGGAATGCTTGTTCCAAGGAGTTCTGTTTCCCTTACTGCTTCAAGGATATCGAGCAGGCATAGATTTTGCTTTTTGACAGAGTCCCACATCTCTTAGAGGCTTTGCTCTTTCCTTTTGAGTTTTTTTTTCCTGTTTTTAACAGATTGGGTTAATTCCATATTTTGGTCTTCAAACTCTGAGATTCTTTCCTCTGCTTGGTTGATTCTGCTCCCTATGCTTGTTATTTATTTCAAGGATGGAGTTCTTTATTTCCATTATTTCAGAATAAACTTTTTTGAAATTGGCCAACTCCGCTTTTACTTCCTGTATGATTTCATTGAGTTTCACTTAATTTCTCTTGGTTCCTGTTCTTTTTTGCCATCCAATCTCTGATTTATGTGGCTTTCATCTGGAGCAGGTCGTTCTAGGGGGAGTTTCCATTGTTTCTGCTACGATGGTTGTTTTTTCCAGGCAGTTTCTTTAGGACTCTGAGGGTTGCCTGTGTTTTTCTGTTGACTTTTCCTCATTTGTGACAGGTCACTTATCCTTTCTATAATTCAATCAGTGAGAGAGGGAGAAGCATTTACATCTGCTGCTTATGTCACCCTGTGGCAGGTTTCCATAATTGCAGGTTCCAATTATGGTAAACTAATTGAACCAGTTTTTTAGCCCCTGCTGCACTGGGAGAGGGCGAACTGACTTAGAATCGCTCACACCTCTCCTTCAAAAGAGCTTCTGACTTTGTCTGAAACTGGAACAGGGTGGGGCATCAGGTGCCTGGAATCCCATGCCTGTCATTGTTTTCGGGTCTCTGTGTGTACAGAGACCTCTGCTGGTTACAGGGTGTATTGGCTGCTGGGTCCCTACTCTCTGCCCTGCTCAGCAAGAGAGGTGCTGGTCTGCTTCTCCACTAGTTGCCAGCAGTTGGTGTGCCAGACAGATTTACAGATTCACTCTGCAGTCAGTTCTCTTCTTACTGATTCCAGGCACCTGATGTATCCTGAGCAAGTTCCAATTCCCCATTTCTCTTGGGTTCTGGTTGCCTCCCACTGCATCCTGATCAAAACTCCTTCAGTGTGGGACCAGTGGCTCGAGCATGTCTGAGAGGGGGTGAACTAACTTGAAATGTCTTAGAATCACTCACCCTTCTCCTTCAATGAGCAGAGCTTCCAACTTTGTCGGAGCCTGGAACAGGGCAGGGGTTGAGGCATCTGGAGCCCCACATCTGCTGTTGTCTTCTGGTCTCTGTGTGCTCAAAGAGACCTCTGCTGGGTGCAAGGTGTATCCCCCACCCAAATGTTCAGGGCATCTCCATCAATCAGCTACTCGGTCCCTACTCTCTGTCTTGCTAGGTGAGAGAGGTGCAATAGAGTGAAGTAGGTAGAGGTCAGAATGCAACAAACTGAATGTACAGGAAATCAGAAAACAGAGAGAGGAGAGGGAGAGAAAAAGTAGACATTCTCATCAGAGTCTTGGCTGTGATTGAAAATAGAGAATCTGGTATCCAGAAGGGGATACAGAGTTGTGCATGGAATTATTTTGGCAATATTTTGTGTAAAGGTAAGCCAGATTTGGTGCAGCTGGGAAATAAATGATACGTTTGTTTATATTCCTTTTCTTTATGATAGTCAACACTTTCAAAGGCTGAACAGTAAGCTAAAACAAATTTTGGTGGTCATCTACTGTAATCTTCTCATTTTATACCCAAAGAAAATGAGGCTCAGAAAGGGAAAGGGTCTTATGCTCAAGGTTTGCCTGTAAAACTACTCAAATCATTTTATTCCCCTTAAATTTTCTATTACCCTATGCTCATTTCATAAAATGCTCCATACTTCCTAGGTCCTTACTTAAAACATAACTTTTTATTTTTGCAGTAATTATAGACTTAAGGAAGTTGCAAAAATAGTACAGAGAGTGTCATGTACCCTTCACCCAATTTCCTCCGGTAGTTGTACAACTTCATATCTAAGATATTGACAATGGTATAATACTGCTAACTAGACTACGGACTATGCAGTTCCATCAGATTTGACATGCATTCATTTGTGTATGTAGGTATATACAATTTTAGCACAGGTATAGATTCACACGTACTTAACACCACAATCAAGATCTAGAACTATTTCATTAGCACAGAGGAATCCCTTTATAATCAAACCTATCCCACATCACATTCAGTCCCTGTCCCTGGCACCCATTCATCTGTTCTTCATTTCTATAATTTTGTCATTTCAAGAATGTTACATAAATGCAACTGTACAGTATACGTGACCTTTTGAGACTGGCTTTATTCAATCACCAGAATACCCCCAAAGTACATCCAAGTTGTATCCATAGTTGCTCTTCATGCATAGTAGTACTTCAAGGGATAGATGGTTTGTTTAGTCATTTACCTGTTACAGGACATCTGGGGCTTTTCCAGTTTTTATCTATACAAATAAAGCTGCTACAAACATTTGTGCACAGTTTTTGTGCCAACATAGGTTTTCATTTGTCTGGAATAAATGTCTAGGAGTGTAATTACTGGATCACATACTAAATATACGTTTATAAGAAATTTCTAAACGTTTTTCCAGGGTGACTGTACCATTTTACATTCCTGTCAGCAATGTATGAGAGATCCAATTTGTATCCTCATTTGGTATTTTCACTATTTTTTCTTTAACTATTCTGATAAGTCATATCTCATTGTGTTTTTAATTTGCAGTCCCTGATGACTTATGGAGTTCAACATCTTTTCATGTGTCTACTTGCCAGACATATATCCTCTTTAGTGAAATGTCTATTCACGTATTTTGCCCATTTTCTAATTGGATTGTTTGTTTTTATTATTTTTATGCATACTCTGTATATTCCAGATTGATCCGATATATGGCCGGATAATAATTTCTCTCAATCTGTTGCTTATCTTCTCCTCTTCTTAAATTTTTTACAGAGCAAGTTTTAAAATCATGATGATGAAGTCTGACACATCAATTTTTTCCTTTTATGGATTGCACTTTTCAGATGAAGTCCAAGAACTTGTAAAGTAGCCCAAGATCCTGAAGATTTTTCTACTGTGATTTTTTCTCTAAGTTTTATAGTCTTATGTATTACATTTAAGCCCATTACACATTTTGAGTTAAATTTCATATAAGATGTAAGGTTTAGGATGAGGATTTTTTTTTTTTTTTGCCTATGAGTGTCCAATTGTTCCAGCATAATGTATTGAAAAGGCTACTCTTCCTCCATTGAATTGCTTTTACACTTTGTCAAAATCAGTTGGACATATTTCTATGGGTCTATTTCTGGGTTCTCCCTTCTGTTCCATTGATCTGTGTGTCTATTCCTCTGCCAGTATCATACTATCTTGATTACTACAGCATTCAAGTTGGTCTTGAAGTCCAGTAATGCTAGTCCTCCAACTTTTTCTTCTTCAAAATCAATTTGGCTTAATTAATTTCACAATGGATATTTCCATCTTTCCTATAGGAAAAGAAAAAGAATAGAGAAGAATTGTATCTATGAGGCATTAGATAAAATATAGCATATACATTCCATATGCCCTAGGATAGTGGTTTTCAAATGTTAGTATGATTCAGAATCAGCTAAGCAGTTCATGCAGATTTCTGGGTTCCAACCCCAGAGATAGAGTTTGACCTTCAAATGATTCTGATGCAGGCAGTTTGGGACTACACTTTGAAATCTGACAAAAAATAATCTAAAGAGAAACAAAAAAGATAAACCCAAACCCAAACCCAACCTTTATCACTTTAATTTTCAGTATGCAATAAGCCAGACTCTTCTAAAGACACACTTAGTATCTGTGGCTATACCTGACAAGAATAGCACAATCAAATTTTTCAGAGCATGATTTTTATTGCAGCCTAAATCCTAAATGTTTCTGGAAAAACACATTTGTATTATAATGGAAATTCCTAGGCAGATAAGATATGTTCAATAGGAATTTACTTCAGAGTCAAATATGCTAGAATGCATCTGTTTGATTAAAAAGGGGCACCTACATAGATTCAACCTTTGAGAGGTATCTCAGAATGCATATTTTAGAGATCAAGAAGGAAGATATGAGACATACATCTCTCACTGAAAACAAAGAATAGAGGTGGGGTTGCTGTTTAGTCACCTCCATTTCCTTCCACTAACTGTCCATCATAAGCATCATAAATATAAAGTTGAAATATGAAATACTCTTTTCAGGCCAATATCTTTGATGAACATAGATGCTAAAATTCTCGACAAGATCCTAGCAAACCGGATTCAACAACACATCTCAAAAACCATCCATCATGACCAAGTAGGCTTCATACCTGGGATGCAAGGCTGGTTCAACATTCGTAAAACCATAAATGTAATTAAATACATCAACAGATGTCAAAACAAAAACCACATGATTATATCATTAGATGCAGAAAAGCTTTTGATAAAATCCAGCACCCCTTCTTGATAAAAACCCTCGAATATCTAGGCATACGGGGAACATACCTCAAAATAGTAAAAGCCATCTATGAGAAACCCACAGCCAGCAAACTCCTAAATGGACAAAAATTGGAACTATTTTCCCTGAAAACTGGAACAAGACAAGGATGCCCACTCTCACCCCTCCTGTTCAATATAGTATTGGACGTCCTGGCTAGAGCAATCAGAGAAGAGAAGGAAATCAGGGTATCCAAATAGGAAAAGAGGAAGTCAAGTAATCTCTCTTTGCAGATGACATGATTGTGTACCTTGAAAACCCAAGAGAATTTGTCAAAAACCTCCTTACACTGATAAAGGCCTTTGGCAAAGTCTCAGGATATAAAATAAATGTGCAAAAGACAATCGCATTTCTTTACACCAATAATAAACAAATAGAAACCCAAATAAAAAGCACAATTCCATTCACAATAGCCACAAAAAAAAAAAGAAATACCTTGGCATCTTCCTAACCAGAGATGTGAAAGATCTTTACAATGAAAACTACAAAACTCTGCTCAAAGAAATCAAAGATGACACAAACAAGTGGGAAAATATTCCATGCTCATGGACTGGAAGAATCAACATTGTGAAGATGTCCGTCTTACCTAAGGCAATCTACAGATTCAGTGCAATACCTATCAAATTACCAGCAACATTCTTCTCAGACCTAGAAAAAACAACACAGGAATTCATATGGAAACTCAAACGACCAAGAATAGCCAGAACAATCCTCAGCAAAAAAAACAAAGCAGGTGGTATCACATTACCAGACTTCAAACTTTACTATAAAGCTACAATCATCAAAACAGCTTGGTATTGGTATAGGAACAGGCATATAGATCAATGGAATAGAATTGAGATTCCAGAAGCAAAACCTCAATTTCTCAATCAACTCATCTTCGACAAAGCCTCCACCACCTACCAATGGGGAGAGGAGAACCTATTCAGTAAATAGTGCTGGGAAAACTGGCTGACCACATGCAGAAGATTGAAACAGGATCCCTATCTATCCCCATACACAAAAATTAACTCCAAATGGATCAGAGACCTAAATGCAAAACCTCAAACCATAAAAACCTTAGAAATTGGAGGACATACCCTCATGGAAATCGGAACTGGCATCCAATTTCTGAACAAAATCCGAAATCCACAGGCCATAAGAGATAAGATAGACAAGTGGGACCTCATTAAACTCACAAGCTTCTGCAAAGCCAAAGAAACCATCAAGAGAGCAGGGAGACAGCCTACAGACTGGGAAAAAGTATTTGCCAACTCCAGGTCTGACAAAGGCTTAACATCTTGGATCTACAAGGAACTCAAACGTGCTGAAAAGAAAAAAACAAACAACCCCATTATAAAATAGGCAAAAGACATGAACAGACACTTCTCAAAGGAAGACATCCAAGCAGCCAACAGACACATGAAGAAATGTTCAACCTCACTAATCATCAGGGAGATGCAAATCAAAACCACACTGAGATACCACCTAATTCCAGTCAGAATGGCAATTATCAATAACTCAAAAAATAACAGCTGCTGGAGAAAAGGGAACACTTCTACACTGTTGGTGGGAGTGTAAACTAGTGCAACCTCTGTGGAAAGCAGTGCGGCGATTCCTAAAAGCTCTAAATATCAACCTCCCATATGACCCTGCAATCCCCCTACTGGGAATATACCCTGAAGAACTCAAATCACTCTATCAAAAAGATACCTGCACACGAATGTTTATTGCAGCATTGTTCACAATAGCAAGAACCTGGAACCAACCATGCTGTCATCAAAAGAGGACTGGATTAAAAAAATGTGGTATATATACACGATGGAATATATGCAGCCATAAAAAAGAACAAAATCATGAATTTCGCAGCAACCTGGATGGAACTAGAGTCTATAATACTGAGTGACCTCTCACAAAACAAAGATCTGAGTATCACATGTTCTCACTCATATAGTGGACCTTGATCACCCAACGTACTACCATAAGAAAATGACTGAGAGTGGTGGGAAACTATGGGGGGGGAGGGGAAGGGAGATGGGACTAACAGTAGTAAACATCTGTCTGGGGACGGGAAGACACCTCTTATCAATAAGGGTGCCTGAACGAAGCATCTTTGTATACCTAACCCTTAACTGTACCCCACAATATCATAATAAAAAATATTGATTTAAAAAAAAAAAAGAAATACTCTTCTTCCTTTAACTTATTCTAGGGAAATGTATCTGAAAATGAAAATAAAGACCTCCAAGTTAAAAAGGGAAAAATAAACATTTAAAATACTCTCCCAGACCTTTTATTCCAAGATATCCTTTGCTAGTGTATAAAAAAATAACTCATTCTACTTAAATCATCTTGTATAAGCTTTTGTAGGCCAATTATAGGTAGGAGGGCTCAGTAAACTTTAATGAAATTTTTAGAAAGACATCTTGTGCCTATTGCATGTAAAAACTTATCTAATGGGATATAAACAGCCTGCTGCATGTGAGTGTGTGCATTTTCAGACCCAGCTTAGTACACAAATTGAAAATAAGTTTTTACCCCGTTTGTCTCCTGCTTTATTCTAAAGAAGAAAGTTCTTGCATAAGCTCTTCTTTTTCTTTTTGCAACTCTTGCAAATGCTGTTGGTTTTGCTCCAGTCTGTCTTCCAACCACTGTAGGAGAGGCCCGCTGACTGCTGACATCTGACTGCACAGATTCTTGGTAAACACTTCAATAGGAAAAACACAGATGAGAAAACTGTGGAAGATTGCTGTCCGCTGGCATGTTCCCACTCCACCACCAACAGCCCCTCAACAATGAGCACAGAAAGAAGGGGTTGGAGGAGAAAGCAAAAGAAGTGTAATAAGTAGGACCGATAAACAATTTTAAATGCCCAGCTGGGGAAAAATAGGAGAGCTGAGCAAAGGAGATACCCATTCTGAGGCCATCATGAATATCTGAAGCTTTCCTCTGGTTTTGCAGTGAACAGAAAGATGGCCAGCTCTTTACTCCCATAGACTTTCCCACACTGTAAACCACCATAGCTTCCTAGAGAGCTAGAACTTTGCCATGTATAACTTAGGTTTCCATAGATCCCTGTAGGAAAATTGCTATCAGATGTTATGTATATTAACAAAATAAATACATTAATTCAACTCACCTGAGAGCTCCTCTTTTAAAATGAGAAAAAAACAAAGGAATAAAGAATAAGGGATGCTTCACTGTGAATGTTCAGCTTCATGATGAGACAAAGATTCTGTGGCACTCTTCTAAAACAAATTTTGCCTAATAGAAACATCTTTTTCTCTCATAAAATATGTGACTGTTATGGAAATGACCACTGTAATACTGTGAGGCATATCTTCCCAAATACATGTATATGTATGTCTGTATGTATCCTTTTGAATAAAAAACTGTATTAATTTGGGTGTTACTATTCCCTCCACATAATGATATATCACAGACATCTTTCTATGTCAATACAAATCTAGCTTTCCTTCTTAAGGGCTGCACAATATTCATCTGAATGGGTGTACCAATTTAGAAGACCCTTATTGATAGATATCTCAGTGGCATCCACTTTTTTGCTATGGCTCCAGGAACATAGGGATTTTTCACTTTCCTCACATCCTCACCTAATTACTTCTCAATTTAATATTTGTCAAAAGAGAAGGTAAAAAACTGATAGTCTTATCTTAATGCATACTTCTTTTAAAGATTATAATTAACATTTTTATTTTTCAGTAGGGGCCTATAAAGTTTTTGTTTGAACAATCTTTCCTTTTGTGAGCTCAGGGTTTCATATTATACTTAGACCATCTCTTCCCTAGAGTTTGAAAAATATTCTCTTATATTTTCTTTCTGTAGTTTTTCAACTTTTAAAATGAGCTTTATTAGGGTATAATTTGCAGACAATAAAACGAGCCAATTTAAAGTGTATGGTTCTATCAGTTTTGACAAATGTATATCCTGTGCTATAGTTTGGGTATTTGATCCTCAAAATCTCATGTTGAAATCTGATCCCAAGTGTTGGAAGTGGGGCCTAGTGGGAGGTGTATGAATGGATCCCTTACAAATGATTTGGTGCCCGTTCTCATGGTAGTAAGTGATTTCTTGCTCTATTAGTTCCCATGAGAGCTGGTTGCTAAAGAGAGCCTGGCATCTCCTCCATCTCTCTCCTGTTTCCTCTCTTGCTATGAGATCTCTGCACACACCAGCTCCCCTTCACCTTCCACCATGAATGGAAGCAGCCTGAAGCCCTCAGCAAATGCATATGCCAGTACCATGATTCTCACACAGTCTGCAGAACCATGAGCCAAATGAACCTTTTGTCTTTGTAAATGACCCAAACTCAGGTATTCCTTTATAGCAATACAGAAACAGACTTAGATATCTTGTGTAATTAGTGCTAGTCAAGATGCAGACCATTTCCATCACTGCAGGATTCCCTCTGCAGTTCCCTTTGCATTGAATGCCCCTTTACCCCTGGCCCTAGGCAGCTACCCATTCACTTGCTGTTACCATAGATTAATTTTGCTTATTCTTGAATTTGGAACTTATAGAGCATGTGGCCTTTTGTGTGATGCTTCTTTCACCTGGCATAATGTTTTTGAGACTCATCTAAGTTGTTCATGTATCAGTAGTTTGTTCATTTTATTGCTGAGCAGTACTCCACTGTATGGATGCATCGCACTTTGCTTATCTAGTCACTCACCAATGCACACTGGGGTTGCCTTCACCTTTTGGCTATCATGAATAATGCTGCTATAAACATTAATGTACAAGTTTTTGTTTGAACATATTTTCATTTCTTTGGGGTATATACACAAGAAAGGAACTGGTAGCACATTTGGCAATTCTAAATTGCCAACCTCTTTTCCAAAGTAGTTGTACCATAGTAAAAGTTTAAATATATCTGGAATTTATTATTTTTTTTGTAGAGTATTAGGTAGGAATCTATTTTTCCTCCAAATTAAAGTAAAAGAATATAAGTCCACAAAAGCTGACTGTCTCTTTTGTTTGGCACTATAACCCAGTACCTAGGATAGTGCCTAGCAGAGAGTAGATGATCAAGTGTTTCTTGAACAAATAAACTAACAAAAAAATGAACTTTCTCAATACTATTGAGTAAATAATCCACCCTTTCTTTCATTGATTTGAAGTAACAGCTATATTAAATATAAATTCTTATACATGCATGGCCCTATCTCTAGGCTCTGTTCAGTTCCACTAATCTATTTGTCCATTTTTGAGCTATTACTTATCCTTTTTAAATTACTGTGGCATTAGAATATGGTTAAGTGTCATATATTACCAACTTTTAACTCTGTCATGCTTTATCCCCAGATAGAAATGATGGGAAAGATAAGACCAAGCCATTCTCTTCCTTCTTTTCTTTGAAAAGTAATTGCCTATAACATTTGAAAGCCTCCTCTTCATCACTGGTAACTTTGCCAGTAACTGAGGAAGATTGCACAGAATGACCAAGGAGCCAGGGCCAGTCAGATAGAAAGAAAAATAAATTAGCATATATATAGTATTGAGTTTTTCTGCTCCTTTGCCTTGTACAGGAATCCCTTCTGTATTTACTGACATGGAAAGATTTCCTCCCTCATGCCTTCCTTTTTATCTGTCTGTCTGTCCATCCATCTTTTTCAATTTCTACCACCACAATAGGCTGGTAGTGGTTTGCTGGAACCAGCTCATACCAGCTTAAAGGAACCAATTGGTAAAATTTCAGAAAGTCTGCAAGCTGGTTGATACTATGTTAGTTGCCTGATATCAGTCATGCTAGGAGTATTGCTCCATGGAAACTGACAAACATAGCACATCGGGGCTCTCCCTGCTCCTTGAGAACTGACTGCTAACATATGCCAGCATACTACTGAGTAAATCTATCATAAAGCTCTTTCCTGTGTTTCCTGTTTTACCCTAGATTACACATTTATGATAGTCACACACCCCTAGTATTCACAAGAAATGTTGGGAGCAGGATCAGTAAAACTCTTGGGAAGGGAAACCCAATCACTTCAATCAAACTAAATTTGCTCCTATCAGCTGAGTATTTCAGGGATCACTGCTTGTACTCAAGAAAAAAAACTTACCTGAGCCATTATGGATCTTGGTCACTGAGTCCAGATGTGTAAGGCTAAAGGGATAAAATAGTTTGGGTTAGTAGCAAAGCAGCACTGAGGGAAAAATAAAATGACAAACTGCATCTGACCTTTGCAACCGAATTAGATGAATATGTGTGATTTAAATTCCTATTGCTATTAATTTTTTGATGATTTGGGGGATGTGATTTTATTCAAAAATTTGAGAGATAATTCAAAGAGATAATTTTGAAATTACTGTCTCTCACTGAATCCTTGACACAGTACAATTTATTGGGCAAAACCTAATGCTTGGCAACAAGACTAAAATGTTGTAGATTTCCCCTTGAAGTGTCTTTGCCCTTGAAGGATCCAAAGCATGGCAGGAGAGAAACAAATGTTAAATTGTGACCATACAGTGTGAGAAACATGATGATTAGAGACTGCTATAAAGCTTTCTCACAGAAAGGTAAAAGGAAAGGGGGCTCAAGAGTTGAGCTACTAAAGATAATAGGACAGAGGAAAATAGAGACTAGGTCCTGAGAAGTACAGAAGCGAAGAGGGTCTCTACCTATGGATCCTCCTATATGCATCCTGCTCCTCCTGGCACAGGATCTTGGGCAGCTCTACTGCTGATTCAAGGCACACTTTCCCGATGGTGACATGAGGTACAATATGGATTGGGATTTCAATTCTCTCATACCTGCAAGGCAAACAGTTCAGGTCAGTTTCTAAAACCTGAGTTGTCATAATCAGAAATTCTCTATAGTTTTAATTGAAACTTTGAGATATGACATATGTCAAAGATTAAACATTCCTATACTTCATTTAGTGGCTTAACTTCAAAGTGGATAGGATTCAAACTAGCTTCATCTGGGGAGCAAATTGGAAACCCATTTGCAGAGCCAGTATTTCCTAGTTCCATAGAGAATTTGAGGCCACTTCTGTAAACTTAACAGAAGCTTTGGGAGCTCAAAGTCCTTATGTTCACTCCCCTGACATGGGAAATAGCTAATTAATACTGTTCTGATTCAGGAAGTTACCAGTGGGGGGTGAACGAATTGATCATGAAGTCTGGAGAAGAGGAATTGCAGCCTCTTCAATGACCCTGTCAGATTCATTATCTAGATGAGATCACTCACATAAATGAGTGATCTAACTCAGTGTTCTAACTCAGTGTTCACCAGTGGCCCTCACTTCCCATTTTCTCCCTGGGGAAAAATAGGTAAGAAATCCACAAGTACTCACACTTTCATTCTAGGGTGGGAGAAACAGATATGCTTATTACTAAGGTCAGGCAATCTACCTCTACTCACTTCTTACCCCAAATACAGCTAAACTCTCTACCTAACAGTGGGTTCAGTAAAGAAGCCAGGTTGAGGAGTCCTGGCACTGTAAGGCCCCATTGGCACATGGTGGTGAAGCAGCATAAGATCTAGCTCCCTTCTCTCCCTTCCCCACCCAGCAGAGTATGTCTAGGCCCTGGAACAAAACATGGATGGCACACAAATAATAGGGAATTACAAACACCTCTCTCCACCCCACACCCAAGCAGTCAAGAAAGAACTCATGAAGGAATATGCCACAGCTGTTGGTGGTTTGCAGAAGGCCCTTCAGAGTAATACACAGTGAACCTTGATGAATTAATGTGTGGCTGCTACTAGTCTGCTCAATAGGGTTTCCTACTGAGTTTGTCAGAAGCATTAGCAGAAATGATTCCAATGGTCCACTGGGTTTAGACACAGATCTTTATGAATTCCTAGAGGAAAGTACAAGAACTTGCTCAAAACTACAACCCAGTCCAAGGTAGGCAGAGATCCAAAGCTTATGATTCTACTTCTGCTAATGAACTAGATGTTAAGACTAATCCTCCTTTTGAGAGCAATGAGAATTGCTGGGCCAAATAAAACAGCATCTCTTCAAGTTACTGAAAAGCTACCAAGGCAATGAGCAATTATGGGGACAAGAGAAGGAAAATCCAGAGAGAAGAGCCTGACATTTAATTTTTTTTAATGTTTTTCAAATTGTGGGGTACAATTCAGGGTTGGTTATACAAACATTCATTGTGCAGGTACCCCTGTTGATGAGGTGTGCCACCCCCAGTCAGATTTCAACTACTGTCATTCCCACCTCCCCCCCCCACAGTTTCCCACTACTGTCAATACTTTTCTTATAGTATTACGGTAGTTATTCATGGTCCACTTATGAGTGAGAACATGTGATACTTGGTTCTTTGTTTCTGTGACAGATCACTCAGTATTATAGACTCTAATTCCATCATGTGTTACGAAGTTCATGATTTTGTTCTTCTTTATGGCTGCATAATAATCCATCATGTATATGTACCACATTTTTTAATCCAGTCCTCTTTTGATGGACAGCATGGTTGGTTCCACGTTCTTGCTATTGTGAACAAGGCTGTGATAAACGTACGTGTGCAGATATCTTTTTTACAGAGGGATATGAGTTCTTCCGGGTATATTCCCATTGGGGGCCTTGCGGGGTCACATGGAAGATTGATTTTTAGATCTTTTAGGAATCGCCACACTGTTTCCCACAGAGGCTGTACTAGATTACATTTCCACCAACAATGTAGAAGTGTTCCCTTTACGCCACATTCTCTCCAGCATCTGTTATTTTTTGAGTTATTGATGATGCCCATTCTACTGAAGTTAGGTGGTATCTCAGTGTCTTTTTTTTTTCTCTTAAAATTGTGGGGTACAGTTAAGGGTTAGGTATACAAATATTCACTGTGAAGGTACCCTTGTTGATGAGGTGTGGCCCCTCTTCCCTAGGCAGATATCAACTACCGAACTACCATTAATCCCAACTCCCTGCCCCTCCCCCCCGTAGTTTCCTGCCACTGTCAATCCTTTTCCAATAATATTGCAGTAGTTGTTTAAGGTCCACTTATGAGTGAGAACATGTGATACTCAGATATTTGTTTCTGTGAAAGAGCACTCAGTATTGTACACTCTAATTCCATCCAGGTTGCTGCACAATTCATGATTTTGTTCTTCTTTATGGCTGCACAATAATTCATCATGTATATGTACCACATTTTTTTATCCAGTCCTCTTTTGATGGGCAGCGTGGTTGGTTCCATGATCTTGCTATTGTGAACAATGCTGCAATAAACATACGTGTGTAGGTATCTTTTTTATAGAGTGATTTGAGTTCTTCCGGGTATATTCCCAGTAGGGGGATTGCAGGGTCCTATGGAAAGTGGATTTTTAGAACTTTTAGGAATCGCCACACTGATTTCCACAGAGGTTGTACCAGTTTACACTCCCACCAACAGTGTAGAAGTGTTCCCTTTTTGCCACATCCTCTCCAGCATCTGTTACTTTTTGAGTTATTGATGATGACCATTCTGACTGGAGTTAGGTGGCATCTCAGTGTAGTTTTGATTTGCATTTCTCTGATGACTAGTGAGGATGAACATTTTTTCATGTATCTGTTGGCTGCTCATATGTCTTCTTTTGAGAACGGTCTGTTCATATATTTTGCCCACTTTGTAATGGGACTGTTTTTTTCTTTTCAGCATGTTTATGTTCTTTGTAGATCCTAGATGTTAGGCCTTTGTCAAACATGAAGTTGGTAAATATTTTTTCCCAGTCTGTGGGTTGTCTCCCCACTCTCCTGATGGTTTCTTTGGCTTTGCAGAAGCTTTTCAGTTTGATGAGGTCCCAATTTGTCTATCTCTTATGGCCTGGGCATTTCGGGTTTTACTCAGGAATTGGTTGTCAGTTCCAACTTCCATAAGGGTGTCTCCTGCATTTTCTAAGGTTCTTATAGTTTGAGGTTTTATGTTTAGGTCTTTGATCCATTTAGAGTTAGATTCTGTGTATGGAGATAGGTAGGGATCCTGTTTCAATTTTCTGCATGTGATCGGCCAGTTTTCCCAGCAGCATTTACTGAATAGGTTCTCGTCTCCCCAGTGATAGGTAGTGGAAGAGCCTGACATTTTAGGGACAGTTTTCCCGGAAAGGTATCTACTGATTCCAGAAGCTTATAGGCTGAGAAGTTGAGGAACGTTTTCAAAAGGATTATGGATCTAGCATAACAAAATTGGAGTTCAGGGCCTGTTAAGGTAGAGAGGACCTGGTAAACTGTCTCCAGGCTATGGGTTGGGACCCCAACAGTATACATACTAGGAGTAAAAACAGACTAGCCTGTACAGGGACTGCGAGTCCAACTCTGAATCATCTTAATGAGATTAAAGTGATCTATAGTTCTGCTACCAGTTAGGATGTCGAAGGTCACCAAAGACCTTTGCTCCTACCATAATAATAAAACAATAGATCAAACAAAATGTGCAGATTAAAGACACAAGAGAACTATGAATAGGAAAATCAGTCTAAATGAACTGTCTCTGGGACATCTATCTTATCTGGAGGCAAAGGATGGTGCTTGTCATACATAGGTGAACCTTGCTGGGGGTAAAGAGAAAGCAATGGAACTTGTAACAATCATGAGAACTGATGTGATAGACTGAAATCTGTAGAAGCCTACAACAGAGTTAGTTCTCTCCTGCTGATTTTGCCCTATAGAACTTGATAAGACAACAGAGGCATAATTGAGCTGGAAAGCAGAAAGGGAGATCTTTATTAGTCCGTGTTTCTTAGATCTAAATTTCCTGCTAGGAGATGGAAAATGGGATACCCAGTGCAGATATCCTTTGTGCTCAAATCCTAGCAAACCGAAGTATAATAGAAAATAACTTAAACAGCAACACAGCAATAACTCAGATAACTTCTGGTTGGATGGAAGTAATAAGATTCCCATCCTAGCTGCTTGATACAGGAATGGATATGCTCTCTCTGGGGAATAATAATATTTAGTCCAATATCGATGGTTCTATTAAAAAAATTCTACAGAATGCCCTGCCACTGAAATTGGTGTCTGTATTAGGAAGACTAAACAACTAGCCTATCACAAATAGTAAGTACAGCTTTTTAAGAGCTAGATAATATAAAAAGATACAAATGGAGATGACAAAAACTCATAAAGCAAGGGGGATGGATTTGAAGCATAGAGTTTCTTAGGTTTCTCGTTGCTTGTTTGTTTTTGTTTTTTTTTGTAAACAGAGTAAGTTGTAATCAGTTTGAATTAAGTGATTCTAGGATGTTATGTGCAAGTCTCATGACAACCACAAAACAAAAACTCATAATAGATACACAAAAAATAAAAAGATATTAAAACATACTATCACAGAAAACTACTTTACACAAAGGAAAACAGGGAGGGAAGAAGGAAGAGAAGAGAAACACACACACACACACACACACACACACACACACACACACACACACACACACCAGCAAATAACAAAGTGGCAGTAGGAAGTCCTTACCTGTCAGTAATAACATTGAATGCAAATGGACTAAAATCTCCAGTCAAAAGACACAGAGTGGCTGAATAGATGGAAAAAACAAAGCACATGCTGCTTACAAGAAACTCACTTCACCTATACAGTAATCCCAGCATTTTGAAAGGCCAAGGGGGAGAATTGCTTGAGGCTGGGAGTTCAAGACAAGCCTGTGCAACATAGCGAGATCCTGTCTCTACAAAAAAAATAAATAAAGAATTGAGGTGTGGTAGTGTATACTTGAGTCCAGGAATTCAAGGCTCCATCTTGTGTGACAGATTGAGACTCTGTCTCTAAAGCAAACAAACAAAAAAACAAGAAAGACACACACA